GGGTGTCCTACCGGTGGGATTTTTGTCAGGCGAACTAAGGTTAATCGTACCCTCAAGTGAGTACTTCGTCCCCTCAGACCAGGGACACGTGAACGGTCGTTCACTTAGAGTTTGTATACTCTAGAGGAAACCTACTTCCTCAGCGCAATGACCCCGTCACAGATGATGAGGGCCATTCAAGATAGTTTTTAAAGGCCATATCGACCCCGAATTCATATAGGTACAACCGTCAAAGAATTTCCAACACTTTTTTTTGATCGGACTTCATACCTGAACAGGGCTGCCGAATATTGTATTGGGAACCGATTGCAGATTGACGCAATAAAATACTTATCGAAGCTGCCAGCACGACACAGTAAGTAGTTAAAATACACCATGCTGCGCAATAAATAACTGCAATACCAGGGTAAATGAAAATGCTGTCTGTTCGCCCATTGTAAACAACGCTTGCTAAAATTCCTGAGCTACCGACAACCTACATACACTGCTCGACCGTGCGAACGTCCCAATATTTCTTGTTAACTAGCAAGAACAAAATCATTTCGAGCGTGTACGGGCTCAGTGAATGGCGCTCGTGTCCAAACGTGACGCGGGCGAGACTGAAAAACCGCTCCACCATATTGGAGGTGGGCGGTATCAAGCTCAGCAGTCCATACTCCTGAGGCTTTTGCACCCGACGGCGCTTGCGCTGAAGCTGCGCAAGGAACGACCCTGACTCCGAGTCGGACTCATTCTCACTATGCTCGATGGCGAACGGTTCCAGCGCAGCAGATTCAGCCCACGTGAGCTTGGCGCCTTCACCATCGAGCACTTTTGTGCAACCGCTCTCGAAATCTGGAGAGTGAACGATTCTAGCACGCGGTGCTGTAAGGAATATAAAACATAGACTGTTAGATTTGCATATTAAAATTGTCAAGTTGCCGATACGTACCCAAATACTCAGCAAACGAGGGCTCAACTTCGATGAGGCCATCAAACCAAAGACGTACGTCTAAAATCGTGGTCGTCTCGCACTGTAGAGACTTGCTAACACTCTCGATGCGCTTCAAGTCGAACAGCAGAGACAGAAGTCGCTTCGCAGAGCGCGGGGAAGGCATCAGCTCGCACAGTTCTTCATCATCTGCCTCTATAAACCCCGCCAGACAGAAGTAGCAGTCCACCATCGCGTACGTCGAGCTCCATCGTGTGTCTTGACGGAGAACGGGGCGTAGTGGGGTTTTGGCACTAAAAAGAAAAATTACAAAAAATACTAGAACCAATTCAACAAAATTCCGTTTTCCCAAAATTGGTTACCGAAGTTTTGCGGCGTGATTCAGCGTGCGAAGCGTTCGCATCAGGTTCTGAATGGTGTCCAGCTCGTCCTTGTAGGATTGAAGATAAGCTTGCACGGCGAGATTGAGAGACGATGGCTCGCGCATCCGATTAGAAGGAGGTGAGCAATTGTTGCCAGCCTTCTGTTAACGGCACAGTTGTCGCCGACAGTAAACAAGCAATCGTGCAAGCTCTTACCGTAATCACGCTGCAGCATCGAGTCCAAAAACACGCGATGGGTTTTTTTTGATCACCACCATCCTCACCGATCAGTGGAGCCATAGACAAAAGCGGATGGTGTCCCACGCCGTCTATCTCGTAGCACGCAAAACGGCTAGAAAGTGCTCTGACGCGTGGGACCATCCATCGATCACCAAGCCAAACTGTCTCGGTAACTCCGCCTTAATCTTGGTCTTAACTGCCAGTGTGACAATCTCCATCGCTCACTAGAGCGATTCGACGCTGATACGGTTTAGGTTCGTGTAGCTGCAGTAATACAACATTTTAACAATCGTCAGCAACAAATTAACTACGTATAAAGTCTAATTCATACCGTCTCGTTGTAGCTCGTTCGCAAAACTGAAGCGGCAAGTTGCTGGAGATGATCCAGTCCAGCCAACCGTGCATATTTTTGTCACTCTGTTTGATCCACGGCGCCAGCGTCCCTGCACCCGTGTCAGCCTCCCTGACCACTTCTTGATAGTCAGGGTGCTGGTCACAAATGTGGGACATCAGTTTGAGTACCCGGTTCTTGGCGACTGGCGACGCAGAGTCCCACACTGGCAGCGTAAAACCCCTTCAACTTCCTCGTCGAAGGCATCTAGCACCGCTGAGAAGTAGTGGACCGAGATATCGGCGTTGGAATAGGTAGTTGACATCAAAATGGAGACTGTGTGCTTGATTCGAGCTGGATTCGAGCTCGTGGACATTGTTGGTTGCAAAACGAATGGTTGGGGAGACATATTCGGTTTTAGATTTTCGCAATAAGGTACTGCAGGTTATAGGGTAGAACCGTAAATTATTCATTTTGAGATACGTTTTTCAGAAATAAGTAATTTCTTCCTTCAATACATATTGTACTGTAAGTCAATATATTTTTCGGCAGCCCTGTACCTGACGACAAACCCGTTCAAGTTGTAGTGAACCTCCCGGCTCTACAGACTGCGGTATTGATTCGAAAGTTTCTAGATTAGTTGGCTCGAAAAATGTCGTACAGGTACGAGCTCACACAAGAATTCAATACCCTCAACTATTGGTGGTATATTCACTACCGTCTCCGAAAACGACTGAAATATTCGAACAAGAATTGGTGGGGAACCTGCAATGGATGTCGGTTTAAACAGTCGATTCGCAGCGGATGAGTGGGCACGCCAGGTATCAACAATCCGAGTGGTAAAACTCAAAATAGATGAACACGATACTCGTATTAAAGGATAATTGGTTTTCACAAGAGAACTATAACTCTGGATATAAACATCCAGAGAATAACCTCCATTACCTAATACAGCCCGTGGAACAACTTTTGATCAAGTATAGCAAGTTGATCATGTTATTAAATTAGGCGGTTGGTGTGGTGCACATTCCTGAAATTTAGTATTATTAAAACGAAATATTTCAAATCTAGAAATTTATGGAAATATCTGATGATACACCATATCTCTGTTATGACCCTTTCAAGCAGAAGCGAATTTCCGATGAAATCGGCTTAGAATGGACGAGCACGTGATTTTATATCGATACATATCACTGCTCCCTACTAGCAGTAGGTAAAACCTTTGATTTTGATAACATTTGGCTGTTTTTTTTTCAATCATCAAATTGTATCAAATTTCAAGTCTGACAGAATTATCAAGGGACTTTACAAAAAGCAAGTCTACCAGTTCGGTGGAATCAAATTCTATCAAGTACGACAGGATATCACTATATACGATCTCATTTTAGACAGGTTCGTCTGTACCATGCTTGCTAAAAAGCCAGTCTTCTCGCAGCCTGATGACCTTCGTGTTGTTCATACCCAATCCAAATTGAAGCAGAGAGCTTTTTTCTTCTGATTAGCGCTAAAAAAAATAACACATAGTTAATGGTATGATTCCGACAACAGTCCTTTTCAGTTATTTAAAGCTGATGTATTACCGCCATGGTGCCTAGCGCATCTGTAAGCCTCCAGCTTCTTGGTATCGTGCCAGGCTACAACTGCTTAACAAACTTGAAGAGGCGGAGGTAGCGAGGGTTGGTCCAGTTGTACTGATTTT